AGCCCCCAGGCTCAAATGTACTCTCACACAGGGTTGTGTACACAGTAGGTGTTCATAACTACGGAAGTTAAGAAGGAGAGAGGATACGGTGGTTGTGGACAGTCCGTGTTGGCGAATGCCTGTGGAAGGGAGCTGCCCTGGGGGTGTCAGCCTGAATACACAATGGCTGTGTGAAAAGTAGTCACAGTGCGGGTCACTCAGGGCTGGCGCTTTGCTTGGAATGCAGTGGGCCCTGGAATCTGCTGGCTGGGGAGGCGTGTCCTTCTGAGTAGAAACTGAGCATCAGCTGGACCGAGAGTCTACAGAAGTATCCTGAGGTCAGCTGTGAGGAGAAAGGGACAGGACCTAGGATACAAACGCATCATTAAGGCTCCAGCAGGACGGTACAGACCTCGAGCCCTTTCCTCCAGGCACTTGACCTTCATCTGCAGAGATGAAAATGCACACAGTGTCTGGGACCTGGCCCTTAAAAAACACAGCAGAGGCACAGCATGCACAGCTCTAAGAGGCACTGGGGACGAGGAGCATCGGTCACTAGGGAAAATGTAATGATGCTCACAGAAACTGTCGAAGGGACAAACATCAAGCAAAGCACGGGGGAATAAAAGAGGTGCTCAGAAGTTCGGACACTTGGGCCTGTTTATCTGCTTGTTTGTTTGTTGTGGTGGTGGGGATTAACCTAGGGCTCCATGCCTGCTACATAAGCACTTTACCACTGAGCCAAACTCCCAGCCTCTCATGCCCCACCTCCCCCTTTTTGAGACGGGGTCTCTCTATAGCCCCGGCTATTCTGGAACTCACTAGGTAGAGCAGGATGACTTCTAACTCAGGGATCTGCCAGTCTCTGCCCCCTGAGTGCTGAGATTAAAGGTGTGTGCCACCACACCCCGGCTTTACCTTTTGGTTTGTAGTCTAGGCTGCCCTTGAACTTTTGATCGTCCTGCCCCTAGGTCTTAACTGGTTGGGATTACAGGCCTGGACCACAAAGACCTGGCTTCTACCTGGGTTTAAACCCCAACTTCACCACACTGGGGCTGAGTGACCTAACTTTTTGAGCCAACCAGTTCTCTGAAAGTTGGAATAGTTAGAGGGTTGTTGCTCTAGAGAGAGGAAGGGAACAGCATTTCTAAGGGCTGAGAAATGATGGGCCTTATGTTTTCAGGGGTCTCCAAGCCGCTGAGTTTGGCTAAAATGAGAAAGAAAAGCTGTAAATTCAATGATGAGACTTGGACGAGAGGGAGGCAGGGGCCAGGGCACACAGGTCCAAGCAGCAACTTTACTGTGAAAATACCAGGAAAAGCTGGGCACTGGTGGCGCACGCCTTTAATCCCAGCATTCAGGAGGCAGAGACAGGTAGATCTCTGTGAGTTTGAGGCCAGCCTGGTCTACAAGTGAGTTCCAGGACAGTCCCCAAAACTACAGAGAAACCCTATCTTGAAAAACAAACAAAACAAAAACAAAAAAGAAGAAGGAGAAGAAGAAGAAAAGAAAGTACCAGGAAGTCAATTATTTCTGGATTGGATGGGTGGACATGGGGTGTGAGGTCACACTGGAACTTATGAACCTATGGTAGGGTCCTTAGGGAGGAGTGGAGCAGCCATAGGGAGAGAAAAGTGACAAAGGGTTGGTGACAAGCCCACGGAGAGACACTATGTGTGTAAGAGGCTGTGAACACCAAGGGAAAGGCATCGGGTCCCTGGGACTGGACCCCAAAGAGAGTTAGAGAGGAGGGAAGGACCTGATGTGTGGAGCGAGGGAGACATTAGTGTCCCTGGGTCAGGAGAGGGTGGTCCCAGGAGGGCCACGTCTACCTCTCTACATCCCCTTCCATCCCACAGGATGTCCTGTGTTTACGGAGGTGGCTTGGGCTGGTGCCACCCCCATAAACTCAGCTTCCCATGACCACACCTCTTGGGTTAGAGAAAACAAAACAGAGAGAGAGGAAGATGTAGAGACAGAGGTGGAAAGACGAGAAAAGAGGAAATACACGCAGAGTAAGGACAGACACGAAGGACCAAGACCTAGACACAGAGAGACATCATTCATAAGTCACAGCAAGCCAGGAAAGGGAGTAAGACCATGTAGGAAAGATGGACACACGGTACAAGCACAGTAATCCCCGGACTCCCAGGAGGCTGAGACAGAAGGGTCACAAGGTCAAAGCCAGCCTGGGCTGCAGAGCAAACCCCTCACTCAGAAGCAGGTTAGAAACCTGGAGGTGGTGGCTCATGACTGGTCCAAATTTCCATATTGGAGGTGGAAGCAGGAAGACTGCTGTGGTCTTGAGGCTAGCCTGGGCTACATAGTAAATAGTAGGAAAGCCTATGCTAATAGAGACCCTATCTCAAAAAACAAACCAACAACAAAAATGACAGCTGACTGAAGGGGTTTTGTTTGTTTGTTTTCCTGAGGCAGGGTTTTTTTTTTTTTTTTTTTAGCTTTTGGAGCCTGTCGGGGAACTCTCTCTCTCTGTAGACCAGGCTGGCCTGAAACTCAGATTATAGCTCAGGGTGATCTTGAACGCCCTATCTTCTTCTCTTCACTTCCTGCGTGCTGGGATTGTACTATATGCTGCCACATCTGCCACTGTGAACGCTTCTGGCATGAATAAATGAACAAATGGATGTCTGGGTGTTTCTATGACTACATAAAAGAGAGGGTACCATTGGGTGAGGGTCTTACGCTCATCAGCAGCCACCCCCCTAGTTTCGAGGATGGTGCCTGGCTAGATTCTGGTCTGGCCACACCCTGTTGCTTGGTGCCTGCCAGAGCTGGAGGCATTTCCCAGAGCTCAGCACATTCCAGCCTCCCCTGGTGGCTCCGAGTGGGCAGGGGGCATTTCACAGAGGAAGGGGGTGGCCTCAGCATGCTAGGATCCTGACACCCTGTTTCTGGCTCCATACCCTCAGCATAGGCCCAGACCCCTCCATATGGGGTGACAGGAGGGTCCACAGAGAGATCGCCCAAGTCAGTGTGAGGGGCCAGAGTGCAGCCCTGGGACCTGGATGGACAATGGGGCAGAAGCTGCTGACTATAGCTTTGGGGGTAATCCCCCAGCCTCAGCCTGGCCCCAGCTCTAGGCCTTAGCTCAGAGAGCTGAGAGCATCTGAGACAGCGACCTTGTGGGTGACAGAGGCATGTGGGGGTACCTGTGTTTCCTCTGCCGTGCCCCAGGGTATGGTGAGTCAGGGCAGGCTGGGGGCTGGACCAGGGGTCAGTGGAGTGTGGGGGGGGTAAGGCTTTGAGGCATTGATTTGAGAGCTGGGCAGAACTGGCTTTAAGTGTGTGATATAGTTGTTGTGTGTGATCTTGTGAACGTTACTGTCCATCTTCTAGTCTTTTCTGTGAGTGGAGGGCCAGAGGTTTGAGCTGAGGTCAGCTCCATCGCCTCCTTCTTGGTAGCTACAAACTGAACACCATGGCTGACCCCGAGGCAGAGGCAAAGAAAGCACTGGGCCCGGCATACAACTTGGGGTATAGCAAGTGTCACCCTAAGCAGTGATTTCATTAAACAATAACCCGGAGTTCTACTAGGCCCAGTGTATATGGTAACAGGTTCAAAGCCCCCCACCTTCCTCTCCAAGTGAGGCCTATCTAGTCCTCTCACGGTTGCCGCTGCTGCTATTTGCGATTTGTGAGACATTCTCTCATGAGCCTGGCCTCAAACTCAGTAGGTAGCCAAGGCTTCCCTCGAAAAGCAACAACAACAAAAGTTATTTATCCTTCTTGCCATTTATTTATTTACTTTTGTGAATGTTTTAGGGTCACAATGTAGCTCTGGCTGACCTAGAACTCACTCTGTAGATCAGGCTGGCTTTGAACTCACAGAGATCCGCCTGCCTCTGCCTCCCGAGTGCTGGGATTAAGGGTGTGCATCCCCACCGCCTGGCTTTTTTTTTAAGCATTTGTTTAAGTCTGTGTAAGAGTGCACATGGATACGAGAGTGCAGATAGATGGCCGACGAGGCCAGAGGTGTTGGATCCACTGGACCTGAAGTAACTTGCAGGTGTGAGCCCCCCGAGGTGGGGATGGGAACCACACTTGAGTCCTCTGGAAAAACAGCAGATAATCTGAACTGCTGAGCCCTCTCTCCAGTCTTTTCCTTAGCTTTTAATCTTTTTAAAAGATTTATTTTTTATCTAATGTACACTGGTGTTTTGCCTGTGTGTATTCTGTGAGAGGCTGTCAGATTCCCTGGAACTGGAGTTACAGTTATGTGCCGTTATGTGGTTTCTGGAAATTAAACCTGGGTCCTCTGGAAGAACAGCCAGTGCTCTTATCCACTGAGCCATCTCTCTAGGTCCTAATTTTTTTTTCAACTAAATTTATTTGTGTGTGCATGTGTCATAAGGATTTCCTTTGTGTGTGTGGCAGTCAGGGGACAATTTGCATGACTTGGTTCTTGCTTCTCATCAGGTGATCCCAGGAACTGAATTCAGGTCCTTGGTGTTAATAGTCAGGGCCTCCATCTGCTGAGCCATCTCACTGGTCCCCAGTTTAGGTCTTAAAACCCATTTGACTCCATGACAAGGCAAGCATTCTTACTACCCCGATTTCAAAGAAGACATTGAGGCTCAGCGATGCCCTGTGTTTGCTGAAGTAGCCAGAGTGCCTGAGCTGTGGTTTGAATCCACATTGTCAGGGAGACGGTTTAGGAAGTTGTCTTGAGAGTTTCAGGGATTATGTGGGCTAGGCCTGGGTCCTGGGTCCTGAGATGGTTCGGGTGGGGTACTGAGTCTTCTAGTGGGGGTGGCATGCAAATTCTTGAATCAGAACTGGGATGGAGGTCTGGGCTCTGGCAAAGGAGATTGGCGTTTTCATATCCCCACCCCTTGCAGATGGATGTAGTTCAGAGAAGGGGATGTTTGTTTCCCCACCACCCACCCTTTGGTGACATAACAGCAAGGCAGCCAATGGCCAAGGCCCCTCCCTTCCTCCCCCTTCCCATTCCTTTTCCCTTCCAGCCCAAGGCTGGGGCTGACCAGTCGGACCAGGGGCTCTGCAGGTGTCTGGAGGCTCAAAGGTAAGAAATGGTCAGCTAGCTAGGCTCGAAAGTCCTAGGAACACAGGCTAAGGGGGTGGGGGTGGGGGGCTGGGAAGGGAGAGCACAGAGGAGTTAAATTCATGGGCTTTGGAACCAGGCTCTGGGTTCAAATCCTAACTTTTTCTTTGGGGTGGTGGAGTGCTCTTTGAGCTCATGTAGCCCAGGCTGGCCTCCAATTTATATAGCTGAGTGTAAGTTTGAACTTCTGGGCCTGCTGTTTGCAGCTCCTAAGTGCTGGGACCACAGGCATGCGCCACCATGTGAGTGTCTGTGGTGCTGGAGATGGACTGCAGGGCCACATGCTAGGCAAGGCTCTGCCAGCTAGTCTCTACCTCTCTAGCCCTTCCTTCCTTGGTTTGGGGGACGCGATCTCAGGATCTTTCTATGTAACTCGGGCCGGCCTTGGACTTCCAGCAACCCTCTTATTTTAGTCTGATGAGTCCTGGGTGTGCACAGCTACACCTGCTGGGCAGCTTCAGGTGAGAGACTTCAACCTTTGTCTCCACTTTGCCATCTGTAAGATGGGAGGATGGAGGCCCCCTTGCAAGGATGGAGGAGTCTGTGAATTGCTGGGGAAAAAGGTTCTTGGTCTTTGAAGGTGGATGGTTGAGAGTAACACAATCCCATTGGTGGGAGGCTGGGCTCAAGCTGAAGTTGGTGCCTCAATTTAAAGTTCCCCGCTGGCTGGGAGGAACTTAGGGGCCACTGTGGTACAAAGTCTGGGTATGGAAGGCAGGTGTGGTAGTTTATACCTGTAATCCCAGCTCGTAGAGGTGGAAAGAGACAGGAGGACCAGAATTTCAAGGTCATCCTCAGCTACATAGGGTGTGTGAAGCCAGCCTGGACTAGCATACAACAGGCCAAGGGCTTAAGCTCTAGCCCCCATAAAACCTGGAGTGGTTGAGACTGTAATCCCAGAACCAGGGAGGTCTGAGAAGAAGGATCAAAAGTTCGAGCTCATCCTTGGTTACTTAGGGAACCAAAGGCTAGCCTGGGTATGTGAGATCCTGTGTGTCGTCCACCCCCCCCCTGCTGAAAAAAAAAAAAAAAACAAAGAAAGAAAGAAAAGTAGAGGGCTCAGAGGTAGCTCAATAGTAGAATGCTTGGCCAGCAACCATGGGGCCCTGAGTTCAATGCCCAGCATTTTATTTATACACACACATGTATATAT